TCCGTGTCTAGTATCTCAAAGATCTGATTTTTTTACGCATGTGGTTATGAAGTTTGTTTTAAGCTCTGCCTCGTTTTTATTCATCTGGAACGTTCTAGGAAGAGGCTCTTTATTGCATCTGATAATTATAACGCAGAGTGCATAAAAAAGTGTTAGGTCAATAAAATAAATTCTTTCTTGAAGCCTTTTATTGGGTGATTAAGTCGTAAATTGATAACACTGCTCTTTTTAACCCGAATGGAGCGTAATGAGTGTCATAAGAACAACAAGCATTGTTCCAACTCTGGTTTTCAGATCAGTGTCATGCGTTGAATGAATGGAGTCCTGACGCATGGAGACAAGAATAAGTTTTATGGCATCCGAACGTCTCGACAAATTGAAATTTGATTTGATCAACAGTGAACTAATGATACCAAATTAATCGTAATAACATAGAAATAACCTACTTTTTTGTAGCTCTCGAAAAGTTGATCGACTTAAACACATTGGTGATGCTCTGAAAGGAAATTAATAATAACAAGATGCAGAGATCTCTGCGAACGGTTTATATTGTGTGGATATTACTTTTGTTTGGTTCACATACCATTTTGTCCAATACTTTTAAAAGAACATTTGCAATGTGGCCAGCGCGGTCGGGCATGCAAAAAGACAGACAGACAGGCAGGCAGGCAGGCAGGCCGGTAAATATTACGTTAATACATGTACGGATTTTAAACTAGATACACTATATTTTTATTGACCTTTGCTTTGTTGAGGAACTGGTGATCCTCTTTTGACTTTGGGACTTTTAAAAGCTTTAAGGGGGCATTTAACACTTGACTCATTCGGTCCAATTCATTCATAATGGGATCTTTCCACATCTTGGGCTGGTGTTGGTTTTGAATTCCACGTCTTGCCTATCTCTGCGAGAGACAGTAGACAGTCAAGGCATTGGCGTATTAATATGCCTTGCAGAACTGTAGTCTGGGTTTGTTCCGACCAAAACTGAGATCGTGTCACCACATAATACATTGTTTCGGTGGACCATCGCCCTAGGGACGGCGCTTCGAAATACAGTCCAGGTAAGAGGTTACAGCGCGGGAAGGGAGAAAAGTTGCCTCGTGTGAAAATCATGCGTGGCTTACTTGTAATGCCAAAGTACTAGTAAATGGTCATAAGTTACATTTCATTCTTGCAGTCGTGTGTTGGGACATATTCTTTTTTAATTTACTTACTTAAAATAATTTTCAAATAATAAGGTCATCCAGTCCACTGCAGTGCGACAGGCGGATGGGGATGAGTGTAGAAAGGAGATCGGTCATGTTTTCCTAAAGATGTTTGGAGAAAACTTTCTTGAATAACTTGAAGGAAAACGTATGGTATGGCATTTACTTTGTGAATGCAACTTTTCGCTAATTCTATCAGACACTTTACAAATAGTGATATTTTCCATCCGCTAACATTAAAGGATGAAATCTCGTCTCGGTGTCTTCTTTGTCTGTTCCTGTAATGATTACCCGATCTTCTTTCCATAAAATAACTGTTCAGGAAGATCTATTTGCACAGAAAACACAGAGAGATCGCATAGATTGTCACGCATTACTGACCACACAGGCTGACCAAATTATATTGGAATGACCAATAATGGATTTTAATGTGGACGGTGCGTTACATTCCTAATGGAGCATTAAGACTCGTAGACGAAATACCCCGAAAGAAAATAGTATTTATTCGTCTGGACAGAAATATTAGATTAAAATTTATTTAGTCCGAATGATACGGTGTCGTTTTAATCACTTGGCTACTTCGACATTGCTTTGGAAAGTTCTGATGTTGACTGTGTATTTTTATTCATATTTATTCATCCAACAAAGTCTCGGACTGTTAAATGAGTTCGTTTTAACAAGTGATTGCTATCATTATTTGATTTAAATTGACTCTTTTGAGGCACAATGACTGCAAAACTTGAGTAAACGTCGCGCGACTTTATGAAAAACAGTATGTGGCCCACGTCGAGTGTCATACAGCGGTTTTGATGGACAGCGTCTTTGTCACTACATTATGGTGCTCCCTGGCGTTGTTACCTTTCCTTCTCCACAAAGCCCTCCCGAAAAAAAACATTATCTCATTTTCGTAATGCTGCATTTTCTTTAGGCTTTTTGAACAACTTATGTCCGTCACACACGTCTTCACTTTGCATCATTTGTTTTAAACAACCACTGCAATCTTCAAACTCAATTTAGTAGCAAAAGTCGTGATGATCATCCTTAATTGTACTCGTAGACAAGAATCAGAAGACAGAAATATAAACTGAGAGTAGGTAAACATTGGTGATTTGGGGATAATAAAACCCATGCAATATTTAAATTGACCAAAGTTCTGTAATACAGTTTAAAATGTGATTGCAGACCATAATGCATGGGTACACTACCAGACTGTCTGACATATGTAGAACAAAATAATACCATCGACTTCTACATGTTTATATGTGCTGTTTATATGTGTGCTCCGCGTACAACTTTTTCCGTAGCTCTGATTACTGCCCATTGTGTATATCAAAAGAGTTTTATGGAGAACATCTTTTTTTCAAAGTGGCAGAATAATTCTCGAGTGAAATACGTATATGAGGCTGGGATGACCCCATTTAGGGGTATGGGCGAAATAAAATGAAATGAAACGGCACTGTATACAAATATCTTCTTGGAACTTGATATTTTCAATTCGTCAATTCACATTTGATCTTAGTGCATACTTTTGCAGTCAGTGCCTGTTGTTTTTTTTATTTTGTAAACTTAAACACGGGTCACGAAATATGCATTAAGATCCTATACATTGTTGCTTTGCTGATGACAGAATGTTTGTATTTTAGAACGAAAGATTCGCATAGATTTCGGTAAACATTAATAGAATTTTGCATTTAACTAATTGATGTTTGTAAATTTTTTGGAGCAAAATCGATAATGCCAAGTTGTCACAGAGTACCCCTTCACTTTATCAAAACGACTTATTTTGTAAAGAAGTGAACATAGCTTAATCATTGATTAAACGATTAAGATGCCACACGTTTCTTGAAAACACTGGATTTTTTTGTGCTGAAAGTGCACTGGCTCGATCAGTAAAATGGGGAGGGCAAGAAAAGGGATCTGGATCTCTTAAACGTTTTCACCTGCTGTGGTTTTTACTATGCTGGTAGTGTAAGGCTTCGATTAGCAGAGAGGAGAGGTCGTGAGTAGGTTCTTGATCCTTTAACCATTTTCACCTGCTGTGGTAAACATAGCCAATTACAAAAAATGCCTTGTCTATATCCACTGTCACCCTCTGACATTAGAAACCGTATGCACTAGAAATGGTTGAAACTAATTCTAATGGAGCTAGATGGCAGTGTGGCCATTGTTTTAGTTAGGCCACAAAATGTCTCAATGGGTGATGTGTTGGAACTCCCACGCTTGTGGAAGTATTTCCGTCCTTTTTTAAACGCCAGTCCATTTTTGCTTTATTACGCACACATCATGTATATCAAAAGCTGTTGTGAAATCATTCACCCTTAAGAGTATTTGTGATAGATAATAGTGTAGCTTGCACTCGAGCCGTGTTCATTATTTTACATTACACACGTTAAGTTGAAACCTCTTTACACAGATTGAAAGATCTATGTTTTTTCTTCTAGTCGCGGAAATCCTGTGACTAAAATGGAAAATCCTGTCTAGACTTAAAGTATGCTAGTTTATAAGACAACTGCTGTAGTTAGGTAATATGCATCTTTTGGTACCTATGGATGTCTGGGTGAAATTTACCTTGTCAATTGATATTTATTTTTCATTTCTTCACAAATCGTGTAGTGGTGTCGGGTTAAATTACTTCGGTCGAGAGTCGGGTGTCCGGTTAATTAATTTTGAACCCTTGATCGCTGTTAAGGGGATTTTGACAGATCCTTCTCACAGTTTAGTCATTCAAGTGCGTCAAAAACCGCAGATTAAACATAAATATTGGCCGGTCGTTGCATCATAATAAAATGAGAAACATAACAGTTCCGTTTTGTGGTGTTTAACGATCAGTGGTAATTTGATCTCTGTTTACTATGCTACCTGGCTAAGTTGACGTGAATGAGAGACGTGTATGTTTTGTTCCGTAACAATATCATTGGTTTCTGTTCAGGTATTGCACTCCATGGTTTCTAATAGTGATATCTCAAATTCAAATAATCACGTCCGAAATGCTCAAGATGCGAAGCATCGTCTAATTGGACAGAGCTTGCGTACAATTAAATTGCAACAGTGGCATCACCAGTAAAGTGTATTACGTACAAACGTTTTGCATACCCCCTGTTACCTTGCCAAAATCACGTTTGTCAACAGAATATGGCGCTTAGAATTGCGTTTACGAACAGCGTAATCTCTTCGCATGTTACGCCGGTGACTCAAAGTCATTTTTGACAATGCTGAATGTCGCAGTACTTATGAATGATATGTCAAAGAATGAATTTTAATCCACGGCGTTTCCACAAAAGCACGCAAGGGGAATGTATGTGGCTTTTCATTAACTCCATTTGAATAAAGTTTGTTAAATCCCCAGTTTGTTGCCACAAAAACCTGTTTGAATATGAAACTGAAAGTTTCATGATCATGTTTCGCATCTACATTATTAAACGACCCCCTCACAATTGTTCATGTGCAGCAGTTAGTTATTTGCCTATAAAAAGCGCTTCACTTGACAACTTAATTGCTTAAGTCATAAAACTGTGTCATTAAGAAGGTCGAGGTCTGTTTTGCTCGTGACACTGACTTCAAGCCCAAATGTCTACAGTAGCACCGTTCTTAGGTGTGCGCACCTTTTTTTTTTTTCTAAATAGCAAATAACACTTTCTAGGCTATATCTCCGAGACTTAATGCAGGCCACGCAGTGAGGGTTACGATTGACTGAACTTTTTTACATTTGTTAATGTGAATTTTAGCCGGCGGGGAGGCTTGTCTGCTGCGTTCAGCACAACCATGATTTGGGCGTATCGTGTGTTTTTCTTTCAGGTTGACAGACACTGAAGTGCATAGCGGCGGGAAGCAACCCCTGCGCATGCTATTGAGCTAGCTTGTCACTTGAATGCCCAGAGCTCGTTGGGGGAAGTTCTTCTGTTAGGCGATCTCCAAGGAGCAAGTCAAGAAAAATCAGCGGCTGCGATCTGATGCATCACAGATAGCAAGATTCGATCTCATTTATAGAAGTGAACCGAAAAGGTGAGTTTCTACTGGGAGTGCGACAAATCAAATACTTTAAGCGGAAAAAATTATTAAGTAGTTTCAATGGATCGAAATCTAATGCAAATTAATGAAACAAAGGATGCCAACGCGTCTCCTGTCCGAAACATTCTTCCTTGACATAAGTTAAATTGTGATTGCACTGATAACCCCTCTTAACATGGGGTATTCTTTGGTCTGTGTGCGTGTATAGTGCTAGGTGTGGGGTCGACTTCTCAACTCAAGTATACCTTGTGTCTCTTTCACACAACGGCCCCAGTGTGTAAAGACGAGCTACGTCCTTACGAAGAAATTAACTACTTAGAAAAGTAAACTTTTATTCGGTGGCTTTTATCCCGACGAAACAGAGACATAGTGTTCAATAACTTAACGCGAGGGGAAGATAAATGAATTAGCTCTTGTTTCGAGATTCACTTAAAAACTAGTTAATCTTATTTATAACTTTTAAAGAAGGTTCCACCTGAATTCTATTAATGTAAATGCATGCGGTTTTTGTTGTCGCTCGTGGCGGGGGAAATAAAAAACTAGCGAGTCAAGGATCAGGTACCCTGCTTTGATTGCTTGACCTCCGAGGTCAAATGCCACCCTATTTTGAGGCACCTTCCGCTAAAGCAAAGTGTCATATATTAGCTGAAGTCATTAAAACTAACTCAGTGTATTTACTTTTGTAAAATGACTTGTGATCAAACGTGCGTGACTTAATGTCTTTTTAAAGCTTCAAAATGTGGATTGTTGCGACTGAGCCGTGAAAAAGGGCTGCTGTTCATATTCTGTTGAATGTTGCAGCAGAGAAAGCATAACTATTTTACGCATTTTCTTTACGTCCCGTTATGAAATATGAACTATTGCGTTTTAAACCCAAAAAATGTGCAGTAGGTTAATTAATTAAGACGTGAAAATAAAGTCTACTTCGTGTTTTATTTTTGCACCGGGCTTAGGTGACAAACTACGATCAAATCGGTTATATTTTCTTTCTTCCCTCGGCCAGTAAATGAAAAAAAATGTAAGGAGAACATCATAACCACCATAGAATATGTCATTGTCAGAGACAGCATTTTGATTACAGTTATGACGTAAAGTGCAACTAACTGGAAAAATGCGCGCAAAAACCCATTCTCTCGGATCTTGCCATTCGTTCTGCAGCAGTCTCTACTAGCCGCAAACAAAGTGAGCCCTTTGAAAAATTGTCGTGGGCGAAAACCGCTCCACGTCTGTGCAAACGTGGTGTATCCTTACCAAACTCAGATTAGATTATTTACTTCATAACTCATTCTTTAAGCTACGATTTTAGATTACGTCTGAAAATGTTAAGATTTTCCCTTTTCCGGTTTTAATTTCAAAGCAGGAAAATACATGCAACTGATACTTGTGATTTCAAACAAACGGGATCAAAAACAAATTACGTTTCCTTTATAAGAGGTGCATGGTCTGTTTTTTTATTCGGTCAAAAGAGGTAAATCCTTTTTTGATTAGTATGACTTCACCTTCTTGATTTCACCGCATCCAGTGTTCCGCCATTCGAGATAAGCGCACAATCGGCCAATTAAGTGAAATGTTGTGATCACGTTTTTTGTTTCCGTGGGGGCATTTTGTGTATGCGTTGATTGAAGAAGAATTTGGTAATTAAATATATCACTTTCGTCAAAAACTTGGTACATGTTTGAATGTATTTTCCTTTAGCCACAACGAAAGAAAAGAATAAGGTATTGACACTAACCAGATAAACAGCGTCGGTGGTTTACATGTATGCGAGTACTGCAGGGTTATCAGTGAAATAAAAACGTTTTCAAAATCACCTGTCAAATAAAACACGCATGTTCAGGCAACACGTGCAAATAACTACATGACACATATGTGTACACTGTCATCTTTCAATTGATCGTCTGACGTCGCAGATGTGTCCTCGTCGAATGAAAAAACAGTTCTTAGATTGACAAGTACACGGCACAGGGTTCGTCAGCTGCCTTAGTAAACTAGGGGTTAAACGACTTAAAACAGATATCATCTTAATTGTTTGCGATTGTTTCCGTTTTACTCGCTGGTGTCCTCAAATAATTTACGTAAGAATGTACTTTTGTTGCAACCTTATGCGTATAAAACGGCGGGGTTTAGTAAAGCGTACAACATGCCAAACATGCTATCGCGCACTTGACAGTAACATTTGATCAGAGGATATGTGAACCGTTAATTAAAGAAACCATAAAAGGGTTTATATATGCAAAGTAACGGAAAGAATAAAATACTTCCTGCGGCGTATTCTAAAATAGGGTAAGAGCTATTCAAAGAATGTTAGGAATCAACATGCTGTTTACGTCACACGGGAGATCGCCACGTATATTGGTGACTATCTAACGGGTCCATGACACACATTTCGTCTGCCTAGGGAAGTTTATGGACGTGGGCAGTTCTTAACTGCTTCCCGTCAATGCAATCCAGCCGGCACAAGCTTCTATAATTATTGATTTCCAAAGACATGTTTTAATGTAACTCTCGGCGCGTCCAGCGATAACACAGCGGAGTTTCTTATATTTATATTTCATTAAGGCGTATTTATTTGATTTACAAACAAGCAGCCGGACAAAGGTAAGAGTTTCGCTACTGTTATTTGTTGATTTAGGATGGCGTTATGAGAAATTTATTGAATCAGCGTACTGTTACAACTTATTTTATTCGCTTAGGATTTCTACTTCTTTGAACAGGCAGAATGTTGAATTAAAATACCACAAATGTTTTGTTTTTTTTTTGTTCAAACACTTCAGTAATTAAAATACTTTTTTTACACTTGTGGTACGGGTTAAACTTTTAGTTAATTTTTACTTTCTGCGATATCATATCACTTTTACTTTTCGGGGATTGAAGGATTAAAGTGATGGTAAGTCAGAACTATCCTTAGCCAAATAAATGAAAAAAAACAAAAACAAAAACAAAACAGAGAAATCATTCACAGCCACTCCACATTTTAAGCTTCAAAACATGAGATCAGGAAAGTAAGTGAGAGTGTAATTAGTCTGAAGATCGCTGTACTTCTTAAAGACAAGTAACGTTATCTTAAGGCAAGGGCACTTTTTTCNTAAAATGTGGATTGTTGCGACTGAGCCGTGAAAAAGGGCTGCTGTTCATATTCTGTTGAATGTTGCAGCAGAGAAAGCATAACTATTTTACGCATTTTCTTTACGTCCCGTTATGAAATATGAACTATTGCGTTTTAAACCCAAAAGATGTGCAGTAGGTTAATTTATTAAGACGTGAAAATAAAGTCTACTTCGTGTTTTATTTTTGCACCGGGCTTAGGTGACAAACTACGATCAAATCGGTTATATTTTCTTTCTTCCCTCGGCCAGTAAATGAAAAAAATGTAAGGAGAACATCATAACCACCATAGAATATGTCATTGTCAGAGACAGCATTTTGATTACAGTTATGACGTAAAGTGCAACTAATTGGAAAAATGCGCGCAAAAGTCCATTCTCTCGGTTCTTGCTATTCGTTCTGCAGCAGTCTCTACTAGCCGCAAACAAAGTGAGCCCATAGTTTTTGAAAAATTGTCGTGGGCGAAAACCGCTCCACGTCTGTGCAAACGTGGTGTATCCTTACCAAACTCAGATTAGATTATTTACTTCATAACTCATTCTTTAAGCTACGATTTTAGATTACGTCTGAAAATGTTAAGATTTTCCCTTTTCCGGTTTTAATTTCAAAGCAGGAAAATACATGCAACTGATACTTGTGATTTCAAACAAACGCGATCAAAAACAAATTACGTTTCCTTTATAAGAGGTGCATGGTCTGTTTTTTTATTCGGTCAAAAGAGGTAAATCCTTTTTTGATTAGTATGACTCCACCTTCTTGATTTCACCGCATCCAATGTTCCGCCATTCGAGATAAGCGCACAATCACCCAATTAAGTGAAATGTTGTGATCACGTTTTTTGTTTCCGTGGGGGCATTTTGTGTATGCGTTGATTGAAGAAGAATTTGGTAATTAAATATATCATTTTCGTCAAAAACTAGGTACATGTTTGAATGTATTTTCCTTTAGCCACAACGAAAGAAAAGAATAAGGTATTGACACTAACCAGATGAACAGCGTCGGTGGTTTACATGTATGCGAGTACTGCAGGGTTATCAGTGAAATAAAAACGTTTTCAAAATCACCTGTCAAATAAAACACGCATGTTCAGGCAACACGTGCAAATAACTACATGACACATATGTGTACATTGTCATGTTTCGATTGATCGTCTGACGTCGCAGATGTGTCCTCGTCGAATGAAAAAAACAGTTCTTAGATTGACAAGTACACGGCACAGGGTTCGTCAGCTGCCTTAGTAAACTAGAGGTTAAACGACTTAAAACAGATATCATCTTAATTGTTTGCGATTGTTTCCGTTTTACTCGCTGGTGTCCTCAAATAATTTACGTAAGAATGTACTTTTGTTGCAACCTTATGCGTATAAAACGGCGGGGTTTAGTAAAGCGTACAACATGCCAAACATGCTATCGCGCACTTGACAGTAACATTTGATCAGAGGATATGTGAACCGTTAATTAAAGAAACCATAAAAGGGTTTATATATGCAAAGTAACGGAAAGAATAAAATACTTCCTGCGGCGTATTCTAAAATAGGGTAAGAGCTATTCAAAGAATGTTAGGAATCAACATGCTGTTTACGTCACACGGGAGATCGCCACGTATATTGGTGACTATCTAACGGGTCCATGACACACATTTCGTCTGCCTAGGGAAGTTTATGGACGTGGGCAGTTCTTAACTGCTTCCCGTCAATGCAATCCAGCCGGCACAAGCTTCTATAATTATTGAATTCCAAAGACATGTTTTAATGTAACTCTCGGCGCGTCCAGCGATAACACAGCGGAGTTTCTTATATTTATATTTCATTAAGGCGTATTTATTTGATTTACAAACAAGCAGCCGGACAAAGGTAAGAGTTTCGCTACTGTTATTTGTTGATTTAGGAT